CAAGTTCCAGGTTTTATTGTCACTTATTTTTATTTAATTAGTGACACCAACCAAAGCACTTGCCGTGCTTTAAATTAGAACGAGCTTATAAACTACAAAAAATATTATTGTTTATAATCGATCTTAATTTTTAATAAGTATTCTTTTATTGAATTTTATTTAAGCTAATTAATAATTAAACTAATTAAAACTTAATATTAAAAAGTGCCTTTTCTTGACTAGAGTGAATGGATTTATCTAAATAAAAGCAAAGCGTTACGAAATATTACAATCAAAAAAAAGCTTTAATATTAATAAAGAAAAGGTTTTTTATTTAAACTGATTTTCAATACAGTGAAAACTAGGTTTTCTAGGTTTAGTAGAATTTGCTTGGTCATGTGCCATAGTTCATCCGCACGAATAACATGCTTAGACACCTTAGAATAAATCCGGTCAAAAAATACATAAGGGACAGAGCTCTGAAGCTATATGTGAAAACCGACAGGCTGCCCTACTTGGAACAATCTAATCTCAGAGTAATCACTAACCGCACGTGACGGTACGCAGATCTTAGATCAATCATTGAATAATAACGAAGATTATGAGAAATACTCAAATCAGTCAGTGAGATTGGTGGGACTCTGCAGAAATCCTCCAGCCATCATAGAGTAAAAGTGTCCGGATGCACTAACTCGGAAAAGACTCAACATAAGAAATCAAAATTTATTATAGTTTATATACTTTTATAAGTTTATAAGTTATATTATTATAAGTATATAATTACTATTTGGGTTCGCGGGGTGCTCGATTATGAAGTAGATGATTACAATTGGTGCTTATATTACATAGATTATAGCAATAGTTAATAGAGACATATATGGTGCTAAATATGTTGATGATTATTATTGGTGCTTAGATTGTAACAATAGTTAATAGAAACATATGTGCTGTCAAATATATTGTGCACTTTTCGAAGAAGCAAAACTACTCACTCCAATCCCAAATCATAAAAAGGATACTGCAATATTGCAATAGGAATGGCTAGATTAAGAATTAAAATCAATAAAATTGTAATAAGACAAATTATTTCTTATAGTTAATAGTTATTACTAGTTGATAATACACACTTACTTATAGCATTCGATTGAAATGTATGAAATGCATTCACATTTGATGGAGACGTAGCCCAACCAAATACTTCAGGTTCATAGAAACCATCTAAACGTGTTTGCATCTGCCAACGTAGCACTCCAATCATGTTTTCCAAATGTTTAGTTTCATTAACATACACTCCCTCATAATATTCATTTAGTTCAGTAGCATTAGTTAACCAATCGGGAAATCCTATAAAACTTTTCATCTCTGCTGATTTCTGTAGAGTTTGTCGTTTTGTTTCAGCGTCCATCCAATTTGTGGAGCGCACTAACTTTTCAAATGCAAGGCGTATATCTTTTAACATATTCTCAACTTTTGGTAATTTCCGCAATGTAAAATTTTTATCTGCCAGTGAGTAACTAACAGCCATGCCCATTAAACTATTTACAGCATGTGCACAATAAATGGAACGAGGTGAACTTCCTTCGGTACCGATCATAACACGCATATACTCGGTATGAAGCAATCGCATGTCACTTGTAGTGTGTAATATTAATTCTTCTACTACGCTGAGCCATATATAGAATTCGATATCTTCTGGTGCTACATCAAATAAATACTCCGTTATAGTTTGTAGATAAATTATATCTGCTTGACTTGTTATAATTTTGATGTCTTTACTATTAAATGGTTTTGTGTGATTAGTATTATTCATAATGAGTTGTAAGTATTCTTCCCAAATGGGTATAGTCTTGGGTGCTATTAGTTTGTCGGTTTGATTTTGTAAATCAATCACAGATATATACACAATATCTTCGGCAGGATTTTTCATTGGTTTTGTGGCATTTTCTGCATCCTCTTTTAACTAATATAAATCAATAGTGATATCAAATAATTAATTTTTATATGTTATAATAGAATAATGTTTTGAAAGTTTAATAGTGAGACAATTTCAACGGAGAAAGTGTGGTTTATACTCGTGAGATACTAAAACATCACCGCTAATTTCTATTAATGTCTGTATCATGAGTAATCGGAGAGACTCTCACATTTACTACTCAAAGAAATACTTAGAGTCCTTAGAAGACCTTATTATTAATATTACATATGAACTTGCATAAATATCTAAATATATTAAGATAGGTTATAGTATTTCGCGAACTATAAGATACATTACGTTATTCCTAAACGGAGTCTTCTAAACCAACTTAGTTAATATTTGATATCTTAGTTAAAGATATCAGATCTCGTTTGGTGCAACGAAATTCAGTGTGGAAAAAACATAAAAGTATGCCTTAATAAGAGATTCCAAATCTCACCTGGATTAAATTAGATACGTATGAAGATATTGGGACTGAAGGTCGTCTAACAATCGTAGGTTAGAAACGAGTCATGTATGTGGACACTTTCTAAGAATTATCTAATCTAACTCACCTTTTACTTTTAGTTTATATCAAAAAATTTTAATATTCTAACATTTAATTGGAAGTATTTAAGATAATATTGGTCTTAATAGGGCACTGGATTATAAGACGGCACTGAGCCAAACTTGGTCTGCCCTGTCGAAGCTGCTGTAACACAAGTCTACCGGCGCTCAAGAAGCAGATATCTGCTTATGGTACCTTTAATATCAATGTTGAAGCTTATCCCGAACCAGGCTTAAGTATTTGGCCACCCTGTTGACGATATTTCCATTATTGGTATCAAATACTTGTATTTATCAATATGCCCAACATTCTACTCACAATTACGAGGAATATGATATCAAAATGACTATCTTAGCTAATTGAGGATTCGATTATCATTTTTCTTCACCTTCCTAACTACCTAGGTTTAAGACTCCAGACCTCCATTTCGCTCAATACAAGCCAGACTACAAGTAAATTAAATGTGAAATTTTGATGGTATATTACAATTGGAATTGGAAATATCAATTCCTAATTCCAGGTAATTTTCAAAAGTATTTTAGTAGCAGTATTTGAGTAATAAGAAATTTGTTTTAATCTAGCAATAAAATTCCAAATTACAATTACGCTGTAATTTGTAATTGCGGGTATTCTAATTACAGAAGTAATCACCACTGCCGAGCTCTGATTACAGAAGTAATTACAACTGCACAGCTCTCATTATAACAGCATATATACCATATGAATTTTAATTGTTAAGTTCTTTCTGATTTGAGAATAAGTCGCAGCATTTACTTTACTTAACATTAAAAACAGTGACCACTTAATACCTACCCTAAATATTCTTCTTGCCACTTTGACTGCTTTCAAAGCCATATCACCTATTGTGTCTTCAATTTCTTCTGACTTTGTGTCAGGGTTTAAGTACAAAATATATGCTTCTAGTATATGTTTCACATACGTCACATAAGCCGTGAGACCAGCAGAAGTGTGCTTAGCAGATTCTTCTTCCTCCTCTTCACGACTTTCCATATCATCATCATCATCTTGATTGAATATCTTTTTTCGTTTTACTTTATGCAATAGTTTATGCATATCATCATTATTACTATTAAGAGAATATTTATATAGAAACATTTCTATTATTTATACGACTCAAAAACTCACAAAGGTAATGAGGATTCAGACTCCGGTGTACCAAATGCTATGCGTTTGATTGTGTTATTAAGTGGATCAGCAAATATATCGAAACCTATAATCAGATCCATACCAGTAAACTTTTTTATATTCACCAAGGCGCGTAACCAGTTAAACTTCTCAATATCACCAAATTTCTTTTCAGCCTCCTTAGACAGTGTCATATTGAAACCACTTGGTAAAAGTGGCAATTCAAATTCTCTTAAATACTCCACAAGTGGTTCCAGCTCTCGGTCATCCAGTAACTCTGTATTTATGCAGGCTTTATACATAACCTTAATTTTAGCAACTGCCGATGGTTCGGCATCGCTCACGTTCGCCTGCAAGAAACTGCGGACCTTTCGCATAATTTTGGCTTGACTCTCTCGAAACCAGTCATTCGATGTGATAGAGTCAGGGCGGGGATGTTCGTTGGCCCAACGGCCGCAAGTGAATGTATAAAAGTCCTCACAGGGATCAGTCTGTTCGTCCATAGAGTATAATAGATTTGCAGCTGTGCGTATGCACTCATTTGTGCGACAAATCGTTGCAGATCTCTTATCTGGTAAAAGGAAGGAATGAAGGTAAGGAAACCTTGAAAGTCTGTTAAAATAAACATAATACTTACGTTTTAAGCTTATAATTATTATTGTTATTATCAGTATGATTATAGTAAATATTAGTAGACCTAAAAGTGCTTTGTGATAATACTTTCGTCTGAATCTGAAACGGAATCCAAAACAAAATGAATTCTAATTGAACTATTAAATTACAACACAAAAGCGAAAAATTATTTATTAAGCCCATTAAAATGAAATCAAAATCAACGAAACTAACAAAAACTCCGTCAAACTCAATAAAACTTAGAAAAGTAGCTAACTGAAGGCAATTACTCACTTGGATTGGACTCCAATCAGATGTGGATTGTACTGTTTGCTGGTGACGTTGTTGATGTCATTTCCGCTGCGTTGTGACGCGGTAATTTGACCCGAAATGGTGGTGAGAATGCTTCGATTGCCTGGAAATGATTTAATTTTTCCATATATTTAATTATTATTGTTACAAAGATAATCACTGTGCTTTGTCAATAAATATTTGCCTATGATAAATGAATTGGTAAATATGAAAAGCAATTACATTAAGTCTTACTCCTACATAGTAGCCTTGCCCGCTGGTGCTGGAGTAACTTTCATTCGTCAGAACTTAAATATGAAAATGTTAAAGATAGCAACAGCATGAATTGTTGTTGTTATTTTTAACGTTTATGAGTGTCATTAGACCGCAACACGACCACCAAACATGTCCTTTCCGAATACGCTGACTCCTGTCATGGTTGCGGTCGTTGTGTTATGTTCTGATATCTGCGTGCTTAGGTATGCATTTTGATCAGATGATAAGAATAGATTTAGCTATCCTGTCATTAAATAGTTTTTATATTTTATATTTTATATTACAATGCGTTACGAACACACACGATTTTTACATTTATGAGTTTATCTATCCCTCTTGATGGCTCCGATGTCTGGTCAAGTAATAACGAACGCGGATATTAGTATGTGTATACGTGTATATACCCATATATCCTGGCTTTGTTCAGTGCGGATATGTGCATTTATGGTGTCATTTAGTTTTTTACTCATTTGCTACTTATTTTTAATGACAACGACATGACAAACTCATTTGACTAGGATTTTTTTTCTATATTTTTGACATATTTGAAGTTCATTGTACCACTGGCAATTTGCGTGAGTTGTAAACTACACGGAAGTACACATTTTCTCATTTATTTTTAAATTTTAAAAACTTAAACATTAATTTCTTATTTCAGAATTTTATGTTAATTATATCCCTTACAGTTGACATTTAGTAAGCTAACCCATTTTTTTCATATAATACTATAATAACTTCTACATTTCAGATGTCGTCAGGATTACTCAAGACTCTACACTCAATGACTAAAATTCATATATATTAATCGAAAGAGGAAGAATCAAAATTGTGGAACTTACTTATTGATAGTTTCGCTCCTATACATATGAAAAGATAAAACCTGGAGCTATAGTGGGGCTTTGTCTAAGTAATTGAGAATGACTTTTACTCAGTGTTGTTCAAAACAAACAATTCTATGCTATAACTATAACTCTACGTCATAGTGGAATTAGATACCAAGTGCATACAAATAATTGAGTGAAGGTGTTCTGGTTACCAACTAGAAATTGATATTGACAACCCTACACAATAATATAATCAGCTTTCTATTCAAAGAGTCCTTTCTAATACTTTGCGATATAAAACATCATAGCATAAAAACTTTGTCTAGAACTAGAAATATGCTTAATATTACTAAATCTGTGATCACTGTTAATTGTCTTACTTTAATGCCGACAGATTCAAGCGAATTCTTTGCGCGAAAAATAGGTGTCTACACTCAATAGCAGAAGTTCGAAAAACAATGAGAGCGTTTCCGTTTTTGATAACAGTAACTCCTCGAAGGAAACTATATAATTTACACACATAGCTTGAGTTGGGGAACGGAACCAATTCGGCCATGTCTAACATATAAAATGTACATGGCCTGAAGTATTGCCCTGACCAGAAGCTTTGGGACTCCTAATACGAACTTATTTCCGCAAAAGAGGAAAATCAGCTACTTTTATCGTAAACCCTATGGATGAGTGCGAAGATATTTTCTTAAAAAAAAAGTAACGAAAAATGTTATTCAGTTCGTAGGGCTCCATAATTAAATACTTTAGTATGAGTAAACCTGAGGAATTAGGTAACGTCTCTCCAAAACACATGATGATGTTTCTAACTGCTACTTGACTATGGGACTAAAGTGGATATGTCACAATAATCCTTAAAGGATGTAGCGACATGTTGACATATTCCCAACCCGTTTTTGAATTTAATTTAATCTAATGGGTAAACTTGAGTATATACACATGAAATGTTCATTTATCTCTTTTTTTTCCCTGCAATTTTTTGTAATTTTTGATTAGATAGCATAACTAATTTTCCAGCATAGGTATTTATAAATCTCTACTACTAATAATAAACCTCTACTATCTATACTAACACTACCACAAAAGATGAAATATCGAATATGAAGTCGATAGATCACTATATCATGATCGTTACCCTCCATAGATTAAAGCCTTGCCATGATAATGCCTATATATCATGAACAACAGTGTTTTTTTAAAGAAAAAAAAATCGAAAAGGATTTTTAAAGATAAACCGAATAATTTTTAAAATGTTTAAAATTACTGAAATAAAACCAGGAATTAAGAAAAGTGCCGATGTACTAAAAAATTGCAGACTTTGATGAAATGAGAGTTTGATATGTTGAATTACACTTTTATTCTTAAAAGTCTTTGATAGAAAACTTCAAGAAAATTAAAATATAACTAATAATATTTAATTTAATTGTGTTAAAGTAAATTATATTTCAGTGCACGAGAATCAAATGTACTAAAATCTTGAAACCGGAGATTTCAACGATCAAATGTAAGTAATTACATTGAACTATATATGGAAGTTCTAGGATATGGAGCAAGGCGATCAAACTATCACTCGACGGCTAAACGTAAAAAAGAAGTAACTACATTCAATTATATATGAAAATATTAGAAATATTAGAATTATTAAAGTTATTAGCTATTTTGTAGTAGATCCGCAGTCTACTATAAAAATTACTATAACTATTTAGTACAATATTAGCAGTAAAATATATTGGATATAATAACTATTTTAGGGAGGCCAAGGTTCACACTGGGCTATAGTGCCAAATAAGAGAAAGAATAATAATCATGCTTATTAAAAAAGTTAGCTTTTGGTTTAAAGACGAAATAAAATAGAATAGAAAAACTTTAAGAATGAGGTAAATGACATTTTAAAATACATTTTAGCTTTTCTTTTTCTTTCTATAGATAAAAAAAAAAATTTTTTGGCAAGCTAATATCTTTTGGAAATCAGTTCTAAATATTTTTCTGCAGATTTTAACAGATTATTTTTATATTTTTTCTATTTATTTTTTCTTCCTTTTTTTCTGTTTTTTATTTCTTCTATTTTCTATTTTTTCTATTTGTTATCAGATTTTTTTAGAATATAGTTTTTATTGCGCTTCAAACTTGTTTTTAACTTCGGTGACTTTCTTTAATATAGTATAAGTATAACTATTGTAAGTTTTCTTCTTCTCAGCCTTTTAGTGCCTAATTGCACAAAAAATAAACTAAATACATTGTGACCGAAAAGTTTCCGGAAACTCTTAAATAAAACGCAAAATTCTTAATCTTCATCAATATTTATTTTATCTCCTTCAAAATATGCTCCATTAGAAGCGATACACAAATGCCAACGTTTCTTCCAATCATCAAAACATTTTTTATAGGCGCTTTCCGGTATGGCTTTGAGTTCCCTCTGCGAATTCTGTTTTACGTCTTCTATGGATTCAAAACGCGTTCCTCTGAGTGGTAATTTGAGGTTGGGAAACAGGAAAAAGTCACACGGTGCAAGATCAGGTGAATACGGTGGCTGTTCGATGGTATTTATTGAATGTTTGGCCTTAAAATCGTTGATAATGTTGAACAAATTGAGGTGAATCGGAACAAGCCGGGCGTTGACACGTCGCATACACAAATTGTCCACCAAAATCAAACGAGCCATCTCACGACCGATGCCTAGCTCTCGTGCTATCTCTCTAACACTCACATGAGGATTTTTGAACACGATTTCCTTTGCCTTTTCAATGTTTTCGTCGGTGGTAGAGGTCGAAGGTCGTCCAGAACGCGGCATGTCTTCGACGGTCGTACGACAGTCCTGAAAGGCTTTGTACCACTCATAAACTTGAGTTTTCGATAAAACTGATTCCCCATAAGCCTTTTGTAGCATTCGCAACGATTCTGCACACGAAATTTCGTTCGAAAAACAAAATTTGATGCAAACTCTTTGTTCAATATTTTTTTCCATTGTTTTTTTCGCAACGCACTACTGAGGTGAACTGGTTTCAACAGCTGCCGTAAACGAACTGTCTGACAGATCGCGCTCATTTTTGGCATAGTAATTAAGGACAGTGCTGCCAAACTACATAAACTTAAAATATCGAAAAATATACAGCGCGCGAATCTTAAATGAGAACCTCCGAAAACCTTTCGGTCACAATGTACATTAAAATGTTTCTATTCAATAGGTCGTCTATTTAATAAATAGCAAAATGAAAATTTACAAATGCTTGACATTGACATATGAAACTTGGTTATAAGATACTCACACGTTAAAGTTTAAGACTGCTATCGAGAGCCGGTTTAGATCAATATTCATATAGCAGTTTCATAGAATCAATTGGCAATTGGTTCTTTGAGGGAAACACCCAAATAAGTAAAGTTATAATATCATAAAAACCAAAACGTTAGTTAGCATAAAGAAGAAAAAGAAAAAATCTAAGAGAGAAAAGGATGGTCAGTTTCTCTAGCTTACTAAGTAAACTTTCTAACATATCTATATACCTACTTTCGCAAAGACAATTAACATATGAACTATGTTTGAATTGTCTGAGTAGCGGATTATCTCTAATAGTTCGTACTTCAAATTATATGTTATATTATATATAAGTTATATAATATATATATTGTGATACTAAAAAGTATTCCCGGGTTTTGGCACATTTCAGAACAGAAATCTTCTTTATTGAAAATTAATTTTAATGAAGAATATATTTCTTTTTTGGACATAATTATGAGTATAGGTATATGACTTTTTGTCAGTTTGACGATAATATTATAATTCTAGCTTGACTCCATACCATAAAGTAAAATATCATTTCAATTGTTGAAATATATCTATTTGAAGTATCTTGATTCCAAGCTATGAAATTCAAAATTTTAACTGTTGAAATATTTCTATTTGAATTTGCAACTTGACTATATCTATATTCTGAAACATTTCTATTTGAAGTACTTTCTGATCAAAAAAGAACGAGAGGCTTATTTTTGAATTCCCGCGCTTATCCAATCGGTAAATTTTTTTTATTTTCACGCTGGCAACATTATTATACACATTCTGCCAAAGCTTAACGCATATCGTATGATTGGTTTTTGTTTGGCGTCTATACAAAGAAGTCGAAAAATTTTCGTGTGGCAATTTTTACCTTATGGCCTCTATGGTCTCAAAACGCGGGAATCACAGTTCCTGTAAATAAGTTCTTTTTTGATCACAAGGTATCTTGATTCCAACCTATAAAGTTCTATATTTCCAATGCTGCAATATTTTTAACTGATTGTTGCAATTATAATTTTGGTTACATATTTTAAACACCTTCAGTGTCAGTATAATTATTTCTACGAGATTAATTATATATTTATTTCCTCTTTCATTGTATTTTTTCTTAAATATTATTTAACTAAAAATTATTACAATGAAATGATAAATTATTTTTCAAATTAAAAAACAAAATTTTAAAAACAAATTTAAAACCCTACCTTCCAAGTAAGAAGTTTAATCAAGCGTTAGAAGTTGTATTCCATAAATTAAGCATCTCTTAATTTCCCATAAAATTTTCGATAAATGTTGTGATGATAAGCTAACATACATATATAAATACCTTCTTTTATATACAACACATCGCCCACATATTCCCTTAGTAAAATATTTATTTAAGAAGTCTTTACCAGAAGCTCATGAAAATGCTCGCTAATGATACGTGAAACAAACGCATTGGGGAATTCAGTCAATGGGAATACTTTCGACATTGAGTATGTAAAGAATGAAATTACACAGAAATGATTTTGTGTAAAACAGAAATACGACATTGAAAAATATCGGGACCCATTTTCAACTCAAAAGATTATATATATTTAAGCGAAACGCAAACAACGTTAATTGC